TCGCTCTTACACCCATTTCTCTCGTCTCCTCCCCCTCCCCCTGCTGCCGTGCCGCCCGTGGCCATGCAGATCGGGCCGCGCCCGCCGCCGCCACCCACCACGAAGGCTTCTCCCCACCCCCCCGCTGGACAAACTCAAGGAACGCGGCTTGTAGCGATCTTGTGCGAAAAAGACGCGAACTGACTTAGATCACCGTGCCCCCCGCCCCTTCCGCATGCTCTACCTTTGGGCAGTGTCGGGCTGGGCACGCGTGGCTGGCCGGGGGGCGCGTGGGGGGGCCTTTGCGACACGTGTCGGCAACATTCATGCAACTTTCACGCGTGACATGTGGTTTGAACTGTCCCCGTCCCCCCCGAATGCAATGTTGGTTTCCGGTTTTCCGAGTTTGGGTGTCCGAGCGGTGTTGCGTAATTTCGCCAATTTTGAATTGGCGGGGGAGGGGAAAGTGCTGCTGACCTTCTCCCTCAACCGGAAGGTTCCCCCCCGCCCCTCCTTCCCTCCATCCCTGCAATGGCGGAAGAACCACCCCGCGCCGATAAGAAGCGTTTGCCGAACGGCCTTGGGCGTTTATTGAGCAACCCGCCCCTGTCCGATCCCATCCTTGGGTGCGTTTTTTAAACGGTTTCGTTTGCCAGGGTGTTACGTTTCGAATGGCTTTTAGCTCATCCCGCCACCGTGCCTGGGTTGTGGGTCATAAGCCTCGAGGATGCTCGTTGAAATGTCGCGGGAGGCCTTTCGGGAGCCTCGTAAAGGGCAGTTTTGAAGTTTCTTGGCTGCCGTTTTGAAGGTTATTGGAACGTTTGGGGGGCCTCATGGCGACCTCTTGGCTGGGGGCCTCTTGGAGGCCTCTTGGGGCCTCCTGGGAGCCTCTTGGGGCGGAAGACTCGGCTTTTCCGTTCGGCCCTTTTTAGGGCTGTCTTTGGGCCCTCTTGGGCCGTCCTGGGCGCCTCTGGGGCCGTCTTGGAGCCCTCCGTCTGTGGGCCGTCTTGAGGGCCTCTTTGGACGAGTTTGGAGGCATCTTGGGCAATTTTGGAGCGTCGTGAAGACGAAAAGGCGAGAACGCTGGAATCAGAAAAACCTAAGGTCAACGTATGATGTTGGCATCTTGGGGCCCTCGTGAGAAGCCTCTTGGGCTTCTCTTGAAGGCTTCTTGGGGCCAGCTTGGGCGTCCTGGACCGATCGTGCGGCGCTTTGGGGCGTCCTTGGACCGTCTGGGCTCTCTTGGGGCGTCTCTTGGGGCCCTCTTGGCCCGTCTTGGGACCGCCCTGGCCCCGCAGAAGTCATGCGGGAGCACTCCCCGGCACGCGCCAAGCCCAAGAAGATTTGAGAGCTACGGGCCCGGGCCCCTTAAGGAACCCTCAGGATTGAAGACATGCTCAGGGGTTGAGCAAGGGACCCGGGGACACTCCACTTCGTGCCACAGGGGCACGGTGGCGAGGGTGGTTTGTCCACTCTCTCTATTCTTTCTTGACGTCAGGCGGACTTCGATTGTTTTGATCGTAGTGTCTGTTTGCACACTACTTGCGTGATGACAATCAAAGAAGGCCAAGAGCGTGCTAACGATAGCATGGTACGCAGTGCGTGCCGCGAGGAAAATCGATGTATGAGACCAAGTGGAAAAGAAGAGGTCCGCAGTGGGACATAGCCATGGCATCCCCGACAGGGCAGGTGCAGCCCCCTCCCCCCCTCCCTCCTCACTCCATCATCCCTCCTCCTTCCCGTCGTCTTCACCCGCCTGCATCCCTCCATCCTGCTGTCTTCCCTCCCTTCTCCTCGGGGGGGCGTCATCCTGCGTTGGTCGTGAACAGGTCGGCCCCAGTCTCTGTTTCACTTCGAACTCGCCCCCCAACTTCCGATATTGGGCTGTATTGTGCGATGTAAAAGGCCATCTTGGGCTACCTAAGGCCATCTTGGAACCGTCTTGGGCTGCCACCTCACACCCCCACACATCCAGACCCAGGGGAGGAGATAGTGCGAGGGTCAGGCTACCCCCCAGAAGGACGGCTGCCTCGCTCACTCCACCCGCCCTTCCACCACCTTAGTAGCACCCAAGTGTCAGCATAGGCAGGGGCCGCCATCGACAGCCATCGGGAACCAGTGCAGACGTCAGCGAGGTGCGCGACGCTTGCGAAGGGTGCCTCGCGTGCCAGGGTACCCCCGCCTCCCTTCTCAAGTAACGATGCAAGATGATCGCGGGGCACCCACGCATGGTCTAAGATTTTGCTGCAACGTGCATGTTGCATTGGTTTTTGAAAGGGATGGTCGGCCTGCACGCGCGGGGCAATATGAGGGCCCCCCGCCGTCCCTGCCAACAAAACACAGGGCGGTCGCGGTGCGCCCGAACACGATCCAGGTTGTGGAGGCCTCCAGCCTGTGCCGCCGATCCGGGGCCTTCCCGGTGTCATTTTGTGGTGGTGGCTCCTGCGGGACGGGGCCAGGGCAGGTCGGCAGGGGGGCCAGGCTGGGGCCAGGGGGGCCCATCGGCTACGCGTACGAGTGATCCTTCGCCCGAGTGACTCTTGGTGCGGGCACAGAAGGGTCCCAACAGCACTGATTGGCGCGCATGAATTGCTTGGGTTTTTCCCTTATAGCGGCCCCCTCGAAGCCGCGCACCAAAGGTCACTCTTGCCCAGGATCATTCTTGCGTGAAGCTGAAGGCGGGGCCAGGGCCAGGGCCAGGGCCAGATCAAGGACGTGGATCTAGGCCTCCCAGATGGGTTTTTAGTAGATGGGGTCGGAGGATCGCGCCGCATCGCCAATGCATTGGCGATGCGGCTCGATGTGGAGCCCGACTTTCTCCACGCCGACGGCGCTGATGCACCGCCGACGTCGCCGATGCATCGGCGATGCATCGGCGATCGGCGCGAGACTCCGATCCAATATATTCGGACCCATAAGGAAGCCTCTAGTGGAAGGGATCGGGGGTCCAGGCCGAGGCGGCCGACGGGGCCCAGCTGGGGCCGACGGCCAGCGGAGCGTTGGCCGAGGTCGAGCCGTGGATCGGTCAGAATCCCACCCCCCCTCCCGCCCTGCGGGAAGAAAGCCGGGGACGGAGGCCCCCTCGCCTCCCATCTGGGACCGTCCTGGGGCCCTCTTCTCGGGCCGACCCAAATAGCTAGCATGCAAAAGTGCAGGTTTCCCCTATTGAGGGAATGGGGCAATTCGGGCCTCCTGGGCATAGCCGCGTCAACATTCACACCTTCAGCAGAGCTGGTGCTCAGCTGGCCAGGGATGGCCGCTCGCTCCCCCTCTCCCACCCCCCTTCCCCGGGAAAGCCACCCCGGCAAACACACACACACACACACAAGCAGCAGAAACCCAGAGACGCCTCCACCCGCCCAACCCTGGCACACCCACCCTGGCATTCACTCCCCACCCAGCAGCAGCAGAAACCAAGGGACGCTTTCTCCCCCCTCCCAACCCGGGCAAAGCCACCGGGGCAATCCTTGCCCCACATCTTAGGCAGAAACAGCGGGACACCCTTTTCGCCTCGGCAAAGTTATCCTGGCAGTCACCCCCCCGCAGCAGAGTTGCCCCAGCATTCACCCCCCCAGAAGCAGAAGTCCAGGGACGCCCCCTGTCTACATTCGCAAAGAAAGCAACCCCAGCACTCGTCACCCCAGCAGCAGAGTTGAAGCTCAGCTTCTTCTGGAACTCACACGCTGGATCGGCAGATTTTGCAGCAAGCTGTAAGTCATACTACTTGTTGTTGACAGGGATGGTGGCGTTGTGTCGGCACTAACCCGGACTGGTTTCTGGTCAAGAGGGAAGGGGAGTTCGCAGCATCAATAAGGAACAGTGACAAACATGTTCCCCAAGGAGAAAAATAGTGTTAAAAGCACAAACTCGATAAACCATTCACGCCCGAAAAGGCTGGTAGGATTGGGGGTCAGGATGATTTGGAACAACGCGTGTTAAATTTGGCGAAGAGTTGTAAGGTGTATGATGGTTATCGTGGGAGGTGGCATGGGAGATGAATTGTAGGACAGATACAAACCAGATAAATGATCAGCCCAAGCAGTTCACAGAAATGACAAAAGTGGGCTCGTCCGCGAGCCTCTGGCTGCCATCTTGGTTGGAGCTTGCGTTGGTCCTTTTTGAAGCTATCTCAGGGCTTTCTTAGACCTCTCCTTGGTTCCTGAGGCAATGTTGGAATCCACGGGCCACAATAAGCGCATATGGCGCAGTCCTAACTTATACCCTCCCCATTGGAGCCCGAACTGGCTCTTGGAGGCGATTGGGGACTTGGGGTGCTCTTGGGCACTGTTGTAACCATTCTGGGCCCCTCGTGGTACTCTCTGTGCCATCGCGTGGCCATCTTCAAGGCTCAGAGGCCCACCCGAAGGATGGAACACTTTTCAGGTATGGTCTCGATGTTCGCCTCTCAGGAACATCCATGTGAGGGCACGGGTGCCACCTCGTGCATAGCCGTCTTCTTGGAGCGCATTCGAAGCATATTGGAGGTCCCATATAGGGCGAGCTTGGGCTACCTCACGTAATCTTGGATGCAACGTGAGGTTTCTAGAATTATCCTGGAACCACCTAGAGACATCTTGAGAGGCCCTACCCCCTCGCGAGGCCCCCGCCCCCCCGCCCAGACCCCCAGGACCCCCAGGAAGGGGTAGTTGACCCTTCGCCGAAAGGCCACCGACGCTGAGGGCCGTGGTGGGATCCCCACACTCTGCACACTCAAGGAGGACAGCAGCAGCAGCAGCAGCAGGAGCATCAGCAGCACCAGGATGGAGACGAGGAGGGGGAAGAGGAGGAAGAGGAAAGGGCGACGAGGGACCAGGGAGAAGGAGGAGGAGGAGGAGCAGCAGCAGCAGCAGAAGGGGGTGCAGGAGAAAAAAAGGGAGGGACGCGGGACCAGGAGGAGGAGAAGCAGGAAGAGGGGCGCGGGAAGAGGACTAGGAGGACGAGGAGGAGGAGGAGGAGGAAGAGGAGGAGGAGGAGGACGACGACGACGACCGAGGGGCGAGGAGGAGGGGCGCGGCCGGCGCGAGGCGAGCGCCGCGCCGGCGCCGTGACGCGCGCCAACGCCGCGGCGGGTGCGGCTGGGCTGGCGGGTGCGTGGTGTTTTGCCGCGCCCGCCCCCCCCTCCCCCCTTCCGCGCTCCTCGGGTGTAGGCCAGGGGTGCCCCCTTCTCTTCCACCTCCCTCCCCCTATCCCTCCCAGTTGCCTCCTGCCTCTTCCTCCTTCCTCCCCACCTTTTCCACTTGCCGCTCCTCCTCCTCCTCATCCTCCTCCTCCTCCTCTTCCTCCTCTTCCTCCTCCTCCTTCTCCTCCTCGTCCTCCTCCTCCTCTTCCTCCTCCTCATCCTGCTCCTCCTCCTCTTCCTCCTCCTCCACCTCCTCCTCCTCCTCCTCCTCCTCCCCTCCCCCTCCTCCTCCTCCTCCTCCTCCTCCTCCTCCTCCTCCTCCTCCTCCTCCCCCTCCTCCTCCTCCTCCTCCTTTTCCTCCTCCTCCTCCTCCTCCTTCTCCTCCTCCTCATGCGCTGCTCAGGTGTCGGCTACAGGTGCCCCCATGTTATTATCTTCTCTTCTCTTCCTCCTCCTCCTCGTCCTCCTCCTCCTTCTCCTCCTCCTGCTCCTCCTCCTCCATTCCTTTTCCCTATACATAACTTATCCCTGTCGCACCCCGAGGCCAGTTTTTAAGGCAGGCCAGGCGTTTCGCCTGAGACTTCCTCACCATGTATGATTCTGAAGCTTCAAAATTGGCAACATCTCACAGATGGAGGGCGGGTGGTTTTCAAAATGTGACTCTCGCCTCAGCGCCGCGCTCATTCGTTTAAAGAATTTGCAGGAGCGCACGGAGTGAGGATAACCCGTTTTTTTTATACATTCGGTTTAAAGGTTGCAAGAGTTTCACGGATTGAGGGCGGTTCCTTTTCAACATGTGGTTCTCGCTTCAGCGACGCGCACATTCGTTGTAAACATTTGCAAGAGTTTCACGGATTGAGGGCGGTTCCTTTTCAACATGTGGTTCTCGCCTAAGCGCCGCGCACGTTCGTTTTCTAAGATTGTGAGAGTTTCGCGGGTTCCCACGATCAACGTACCAGAAATTGCGTCTTGGAAGGATTCATGATTTTGCGGGTGCAACAGTTACAATGATTCGCGGTGTCGAGATCCCAAGAATGGCGTTCTGGCACGATCCAGGATCGTCAAGACGCAACAGTCAGGTTGATCCGTGGCATTGGAATCCCGAAACCAATGTTTTGGCATGTTTCCAGGTCTTCGAATGGTTGTCTTCCAACGAGGCAGATTCCTCAATGGAAATGAAGCGTTGTAGGGGCCTATGAAGAAGGAGCTTGGAGGGAGGGTGTCTTCCAACATCGTTGATGCCTCCTGGGTTTACACTGGTCCTCCTCCTCTTCCTACTCCTCCTCGCCCCTACTCCTCCACTCCTTCCCCCTTTATCATTGTCGTCCTCCCCTCCTCCTCCCCCCTTCTCGCATTCTTTCTCCTCCTCCCCGGGTTTCCTCCCTCCTCTTCTTCCACCGCCCCTTGGACCGTCGGCGTCCAAAGCGGTTTGCCCGCGTGCCCCCCCAAAAAACGCCCGCTCGTTTGTGACGAAGCGCAGGCAGCCCGCATGAGGAAACCAGGCCGCCGATTTCGAGACAGATTGACGCCCGAGGTCTGCCAGATGTCTTGGCGACTCTCAGAGCCTCAGGGGGACCCCCTCGCGACCTCGGGAAGCCCAGCTCACACGAGAGGGCGCGACGATAACCGCGCTTGGCGCGTCGCGGTCTGGGCCAGCAGCTGCCCTACTCCACGGGGTCGGCGCGAGGGCGTGAACATGATCGCGCATCGCGGGGCGCGATGCGCGGAAGTTGGGCGACGTCGGGAGAATTCGGTCTCTAAAAGACCGTAGGAAAACAGATGTGGTCTTCAGAAGCAGTTGCTCCTTGGAAAGACCTAGGACTTCAGGAAAGCATCTGGTCTCTGGAAACTTTCGGCATTTGGAAACCTGCTGACCTGGGACCTGGGGAAACACCTGGTCTCTGTAAAACTCGAGGGGCACCTCGGGCCAGCGGCACCTCTGGCAGCACCCGGGCCCTTCCGCGCTCTAATTCTCTTCCTGCTTGCACCAATTGTGGCACGTTGTTACGGGCGCACACTCGGCTTTCCTCGGCGGCGCGCCCAGGGGGGAAGGCGGAGGGCCTCCTCGGAAGGCTCGGGAGGCCTCCGACTCTCTGAGCAGCCTCCCGAGCCCCCTTTCTGAGGCCCCGCCGCGCTTGAGAAGGCCCAGACGCCTGGTGGCTTTCGGGCCATAACTCGGCTCTTTGGTTGCCGTTCGGCACGGTTTGGGCACGCCCAACAACCTCCCAGCGAGGCGCAGCCGCTGGAAGGCACCCCCCAGTGCGATGTTGGTCGCGCTTCGCGATTTGGGCGAGTCCCTCCATCCCATCTTGTTCTGGGGGGGGAGCGGCGCGAAAGCGCGAAGATAGCCGCGTTTCGCGGCGCGCGAAGCGCGAAGACAGCTGCCCTGAGGAAAGCAGCCGAGAGCCGACGAAGACGCCCGAAACTTTCAAGCCTCGACGAGCTCGTAACTCCTAAACGTCCTCCCTTAGCGCGCCGCCGATTTCCTGAGCCCGCTCGACGCAGTGCTGCTGTGGCTGACGGACCTCGCGGGCGGTGAGGTGGACCCCCTGGCCGCCTCCGAGGAGGAGTCTTCCGACAGACCAGGTTCGTTTTGAGACCTCTCTGGGCATGCGCGGAGCAAACGCCGCCACCGTGGAGCCCAGCATCGAAATTCGTGTGGGATGACTCTACCGAGGTCTCCAGAGCAGACTCGGTAGAACCATCCTGGGGCTGTCTGAGCGTAAGCAGGACGCTCTCGTACCGTGTCGCGGTTGTGCGTGGATGTTGCGTTGTCTCTTTCGAATTTACTGGAGGATTCGGGCCCTCCTTAGGTTTTCTGGAGGACCTTTTGGGGGTGTCGGGGCTGTAACGGGCGGGCGGTATTGACGCCGTTCTTGAGTCTTTTGGAGGACTATCTTGGGCCATCCTAAGGGATCGGGCCGTCTTCGGGGGTTATCGAGTCTCTTCCAGTTTTTCCAATTCGAACTTCAGCCGAACAGCTTCGGAAGCAAAACGCCTTCAAGTTTCTCTAAGTATTCTTTGCGTTTGGCCTTCGAGGACCTCGTTGGAAGCTTCCGTGGGCATCTCTTGGAGGCCTCTTGGGAGCATGTTGGTGGTGCCGTTGGAAGGTTGTCGGGCGTTCCTACGCCGGACGCACATGCGCCTAGGTATCGGTGCCATGGGTTCTACAAGCCATCACCCACCAGGCACCACGATCCTCTCTGCACCACAGGGCGCTATGCAAGATGCGATCCAAGATCTATATCAGCATTGTTACGGCATGCAGCCCACATTCGTTTTCAGGGGCTCGTCCCTTCCAGTCCTCCCTATTCTTGCCCTCGAAACTTGAGGTTTCGCCTGGTATTCCGGGCGCCTCCTAAACCAATACGATGTTTTCGGCTGCTGGGCGGCCGTCATGCTAGCCCCCGTCTCACGATGCGGCGCAGCTTCGCTGCAGTCATATGTACTTCATATACAATGCCCAAGGGGGATATCATCATTGTGGCTGAGTTCCGCGGACCAAAAAATACAGAAGCATTCCCCAGCAGCCAACGGGTGCTCTGGCGTGCCCCAGCATGCCGAGGGCGCGATGGCGGACTGCAGCAGAGGGACCGGCTTCGAGATGCTGGGCAGACGCTTGGTCGTTCCAAGGGATCCTTACTGTCCCTCGTCGTCGTCGTTGTTCTCCTCGTCCTCCGCTTCGTTCCTCCTCGTGCTCGTCCTCCTCCTCCTCCTCCTCCGCTGCGTTCCTCCTCGTGCTCGTCCTCCACCTCTTCCTCGTCCTTGCGCGTATCTTCCTACTCGTTGTCCTCCTGCTCCCCTCCCTGCCCTCCCCGTCGTCCACGCTGTCATCCTCGTCATCCACCACCTTGTCGTCGCCATCATCCTTCTCTTCTTTCCCCCCCCTACGAGCCCATTGGAGAAAATCGGTGTTTCCTGTTCTTGTCCGATCAGGTTGCAGCAGAGGGGCTGGTTTCGAGATGTTGGGCAAACCCCTGGTCGTTCCAAGACGAATGTGGTCGACAGACGCGAGGCATGGCCGTGCCTAGTTTGGTTGTTTTTTGGGAGTCCCGCGCATTTTTCGCGGGACAGGCGCGGTTGCTTCATTGCGTGATGCCACCAGTTTGGGGAGCGCGTCTCGGTGGCACAGACCGTACCGCTTCTCAGGCATCACTCTCGGCAGAGGCACTGGCGCTCGCATGTCGCATGTCTACATTGGACTTTGCACGCAGCCGCGTGCGCTAAAGTTGCATGCAGGCGCAGGTATGACCGCCTCTCATTCCGCGCTCTCTCGAGTCACATGGGGCACAGGAACGCACGGCGAGAAGGGTAGAGCTCGAACTCGGGATCTCAGAGGATGGTCTTGCACTGTTATCTGGTATCTAGCCGTATCCGCAGTTGTGCCCATCAACAGCACGCACGTCCTCCCTAACTTCCCCATCATCCCTTCAAGCTCCTCATGCGCCTCCTTCACCTCATCCACATCATCATCAGCAGCAGCATCATCATCGTCACCCTCCTCGTCATCCTCCTCCGCCCACTTCTCCTGGTCCTGATGCTCCTGATCTTCTTTATTCATCCCTATCCGCCCTCCACCAGCACAAATTTTCGACACGAAACAGAGCGCAACGTTTGCCAATCTCCCCAGAGCCGTGGGAGATTCTGGCACCTTGGCTCCAGGAGGCCGCATCACGGCATGTGGGTGCACACTGGTTTCGGGACTGCGCCAGCATTATGCGCACGTGTGCTCGAGCAGAGGAGGAGGAGGAGGAGGACGACGACGATGAGGAAGGAAAAGAAGAAGATGCAGAAGAAGAAGATGCAGAAGAATAAGAAGAAGAGGAGCAGCAGCAGGACAACGAGGAGGCTCGACAAGGCCCGCGCATGCGCATGGTGGTCACGCTCATGCGCACTCCCCGTGCTCGCCCATCCCCCTCTCGATGTATCTCTCGACCTCTGCGGTCCTCTGCCGCGAGCCAATGCGGCTGCCACTAGCGGTGAGGCGGCGCGAGAGCAGCTCCCAGGGTGCAATCGCACCAGAGGACGCTTGCGAGAGCTTGATGCCGCGCTGGAGTGGGCGCAGGTCACGCCCTCGCTGCCGATTGTTTTATTGCACACTCGGGCGCTCCCTCGGGCGGCCCGCGCCTGTCGAGCGGGGCGGAGCGGCAGTGGCTGTGGGGCCGCGGGGGCGACCAGCAGGCGATCGCCGCTCCTGCAGTCCGCCGCCGAGGGGCGAGTTGGGAGTGTCTTGAGCTCCGGCCTGGCGGCTCAGGCTCCGGTGCGCTGCGCGGGCTGAGGGGTATGCAGGGCAGCTGCGGGGTCCCCCAGGGGCGCGAAGATCATCGCGCTTCGCGCGTCTTGGTCTGGGTCAGTGTAGTTGCCCTTCTCCGGAGGGGCGGCACAGGGCGCTAGGCCTCGAGGGCGCGAAGATAATGGCGGTTCTCGCATCGCGGGGCACGATGCACAAATTGAGTGCCCTAGAGCATGCCACTGCTCCCCCCCCCGTAGGTTGTTCGAGGTTTTCGGACATTTTCGTCCGTTCTCGCTGGTTTTCCAGCCTCGGGATGCCTTCCAGCAGCTGCGCCTCGCCGAGAGAGTTCAGGTGGGGCCACGATCATCTCGAACGGCCGCCGGAGGCCCGAGTTATGGCCCGAAAGCCAGGCGACGAGGATCACATCAGGGGGGGGAGACGGTTGATGATTATGTGGTAGGAATGCGCAGGAGGATCGAAATGTAGGAGGAGGAGGAGGAGGAGGAGGAGGATGTGGGAGATCTAGGTCACCCGCGGGGGCCCGAATAGAGTCACGCTTCGCGCGCCGCGACTCGTCCCGAACGGCCGCCAGAGAGCCGAGTTATGGCCGAGAGCCAGGGGGGCGGAGGGGGAAGAGGAAGAGGAGGAGGACCAGTGCAAGCCCAAGACTTCATCAACGATATTGCAATAAACCCTCAATCATGGTTACCTCTTTGCAGGCCCCTGCAAGGATTCATTTTTACTGGAAGAAGTGCTCAGTTAGAAGACAACCTCTTGGAGACCCTGAACTGTACCAGAACACCGTTCCTTGGACTTCAACGCCGCGAATCACTGCCACTGTTGCGTTGTGACGATCCTGAATGGTGCCAGAACACCGGTCCTGCAACTTCAACACCACGAATCAAGGTAATGTTTGCGCCCTGACAATCCGACAGCGTGCCAAAACACCATTTCTTGGAAGTTAGCCGTGAGAATCCTTGAAATTGCTGTCAACTCTTACAACGAGTGTGCGCGGCGGTAAGGCGAGAGCCGACAGCCACATTTTGAGAAGGGCCCGCCCTCCATCCGCGAAACCGCTGCTAAGTCTCAGCTCCAGGATCATGAATCGTTGGGAAATTTCCAGGCGAAACGCCCAGCCCGCCTCTTCGACCGGCCTCGGGGTGCGACAGGAAGGAGTTGTGTGGAGGGAAAACGAATGAGGAAGGAGGAGGAGGAGGAGGAGGAGGAGGAGGAGGAGGAGGAGGAGGAGGAGGAGGAGGAGGAGGAGGAGGAGGAGGAGAGAAGGAGGAGGAGGAGGAGAATGAGGAGGAGGAGAGGAGGACGAGAGAGAGGGGGATGGGAAAGGAGGAGGAGGAGGAGGAGGAAGAGGAGGAGAGGAGAGGAGGAGGAAGAGGAGGAGGAGGAGGAGGAGAGGGAGGAGGGTGGAGGAGGAGAAGGAGGAAAGGGACGAGGAGGAGGAGGATGTGGAGGAGGAGAAGGAGGAGTAGGAGGAGGGGGAGAGGAGGAGGAGGAGGAGGAGGAGGAGGAGGAGGAGGAGGAGGGAGGAGGAGGAGGGGGGGAAAGGGAACGGGGGTCCGTAGCCATTTTGGCTCAAGCTGGCTCAAGCCGTTCTGCTTCGAGCAGCAGCCAGGCACAGGGCTTGTACGCACCGCTTCCCGAGAGCCGCTAAAGGCTCATCCAGAGGGAAAATGTCCTCCCGTCGCCCATTGTGCTTACAGTCATGGCGCACAAGGGCGGCTGGTCGAAAGGAGGCGGCGCTTCAGGCAAGCATTCCAGCAGCACTTACAGCGGTTGGCATGAGAAGCAGGGCGCGAACTGGAAGTGCATGTGCGGAAGTGGCAACAAAAAATAGACGGTGCAAACATTGCGGAATGTCGCGATCATCAGGCGAGGTGCAGTCGTACGAGCCCGCTGGTGGTCCCTACTCCCAGGGCGAGCATCTCCTTCCTGGCCTTCCTGCTCCTCTCGCTGTGGACGCTCGCTCTGGTGTCGCAGGCTGCAGCGGCTACGACCTCAGGAGTCTCACAGATGGCGAACTGCGGAGCGTGGAGGCGCTGGGGCAGAAGGTGAACAGCACCCAGTTCACCTCTCCCTGCAGGCAGGAGAGCTCCCGCCGCATGCAGCCAGGCAGAGCGGCCCATGATGTTGAGGGAGAGGCGCATGCCAAGCTATAGCACCTTGAGGAGCAGCTTCTCGATACGACCTCCAAGCTCGAGTACCTCACCAAGCAGAGGGATGAGCAGCGGGCTTTGATGGCAGACCTCGTCGCGAAGGTGGAGACCGCGACGGCGGACTACCAGGGTGCCGTGCCCACATTGCATACTCGGACACGCTTGGCGATAAGGTGCAGCATCAGCACGTGGCAAAGTTGTGCATCAAGGGTATCCTGGACTGGAACATCCAAGAAAATGTCGTGGACGATGAGAGCCCTTTCGGGCTTGGCGACACGCAGGAGCGAGAACGAGTGGAGAACCTCTTCGGCTCTGCGCGTGAGAGGGCTGAGTCCCTGGTGGCGCAGAGCGCCGAACAAGGAGCAATCGGAGAGGCTCAAGACGAAGCGCACGGGCGATGGCGCAGGAGCAGCCGAGGCGCCTCCTGGCCAGACCCCTGCGATGGAGGCTGCAGCCCCAGAGGCGGTTGATGCATCGAGCCCGCCCGACCAGGTTGCTGCCCCTCTCGCGCGCGCGAAGGCAGCCCCTGGCAATGAGGCCGAATCACCGCAGCGTTCCTGGTTCCTCTGTCCGTCAAGCGGCCTGCAGCGCCATCCCATCCCCTGGCAGGCCGACCGCCCCTGGGGCGGCGACGCGCGGCTCGGCTGAACCCTGCGACCTGGGGGGGCAACTTGATGCATCGTCGAATGCCTCCCAGCAACAACGGGCGATCCGTTGAGCCGCAAGGGGCCCACCCCGTTGCGGGGGCCCGGGGCCTGTCAGATCTCCTGCTCCTCCTCCTTCTCCTCCCAATTTTCCAGTGAGGAGGGGGGCGCGAGGAGAAGGGCGAGGAGGGGGGGCGGAGGATGAGGAGGCGAAGGAGGAGGGCGAGGAGGGAGAGCGAGGAGGAGGGCGAGGAGGGGAAGGACGAGAAGAGGGAGAACGAGGGGGGGGGCGAGGAAAGAGAGCGAGCAGGAGGGCGAGGAGGTGGCGGGGGCGAGGAGGAGGAGGAGGAGGAGGAGGAGGACGATTGCCAGCCGAAAGTTTTCGGGGGGCGAGGGGGTGAAGCATCAAAGCCTTATCGCGTGGAACCAAGACAAGCCTAGCCACGCCAGGGGCCAAACCTGGCAACTTTTGAGGATGTCTCAGGCGAAACGCCCCGAACCAAGCTACATCCACACACCATTTCAACACAGGAGGAGTGGATGATCCACGTGGGGTCCCGCAAGAAGTCTTGCAATTAGAATTTTATGGAGGCGGGGTGCGGCCTTCCCAAAAAAGAACGATTTGGAATGTACTTGTTACTGGCTTCTGATTTTTGTTCGGCCTCGTGCGCGGCCCCCCACTTTGCTGGTTTCCCCGCGGCTTCTCCAAAATCCAGCGATCTACGTGGTTGGGCCGCATTTGCTGGGTCGCAACAGCATGTATGATCCCTGGTCGACGGTTCACAGGTCCCCCCCCCAGATGGGATGTGTATGTGTCCCGGGGTTCTTCAGGTCCCCAGGGGAAGACGACGACGACGACGACGACGACGACGCCGACGAGGACGAGGACGAGGACAAGGACGACGCCGAAGACGACAACGACGCCGACGTCGACGCCGTCGCCGACGACGGACGACGCCGACGCCGACGACGGACGACTGCGACGACGGACGACGACGACGTCGATGCCGACGCCCACGCCGAGGCCGACGCCGACGCCGATGCCGTCCAACCTTCACCACGCCACACCCACAGGGCCACGACCACAGGGGGGGAGGGCTCGATCCCATATGCATTGGGGGGGTGGGGCGACCCTGGATCATGTAGGTGGCCGGGGCGCATTGCGCCCTGGCCACAAACAGCACGTTGTTGCCAACAACATGCATTTATTTCGCGAGTGTTCTCGGGGCGACGGTGCTGATGCGTTATGAGAGATACTCCGTAGAGGGCGCTGGGGGCGGCGGCGCGCACCTCTGGGGCCTTCGGCAACGGCGGAGGGATTTCGGGGAGGAGGGGGAGGAGGGAGGGAAGGATGGAGGGGAGGAGGAGGGGAGGAGGGAGGAGGTGAGGGAGGAGGACAGGGAGGAGACGGGGGAGGAGGAGGAGAGAAGGAGGATGATGATGATGAGGAGGAGGAGGACCAGAGGGAGGGCTGTAGAAGAAGACAAACTGCGTAAACATACACCTTCGGAATTTCCGCGCGGATTTCTTGCATCGGCGCCGCGGGCCCCGTATCCCCTGACTCGCGAAGGTCCGCCAGAGGCGGCGCCAGAAGCCCAGAGTTCGAAAGCCTATGTTCATGCCGACTGTTATCCTCCTCCTCATCATCATCCTCCTCCTCCTCTTCTTCATCCTCCTCCCCCCTCCTCCCTTTCCTCCTTCGTCGTCGTCGTCCTCCTCCTCCTCCTCCTCCTCCTCCTCCTCTTCCCCTCCTCCTCTTCTTCCTCCTACTCCTCCTCCTCCTCCTCCTCTTCCTCCCTCTCCTCCTCCTCCGCCTCCTCCTCCTCAGGGCGCCAGGCGATCCACTCCTGGTTATCCCCGAGGGAAGTGGGGCATCGCAATCAGGCCAAGATACCCCACCCCATTAGTTCCAACGTAGCGTAACTCTGAAATCCAGATGCCGAGGGGTCGCCGCCCCCGAGCCAGAGCACAACCCGCGGGATAAGGCCCGCCAGTGGTTTGGATGACGGGAACATTCTGGATCGTAAGGTCCTGTGACCTACTCCTGTATTCTCCCCGAGCTCCTGGTCTAAGCAGAAGACCTTG